CTGGGTCGGGGTCCGGCTCGGGAGCCGCGCGTGCGGACGCTTTCGGGGCGCTGTCGCTCGGCGGCTCGGCGGGGGGCGCCCGGCGTCCGGAGCGCTGGGAGAGCTCGGGGGTGGGCACCGCACCGCACGCCTTGGAAACTCCGAGTCCAGCTTCCATTCTCTTCTCTGTGTCTTGCGACCCTCACCGCTGAGTTTCCGTCTGTGGATCTGTCCCGGTCCCCCCTGGTGGCTGGTGGGGCAAGACAGTCAAATCCGTCTCGGATGCGTAGGATCGGCGTTTGTTATTGCCTGTCAGTTAGCATCCCTGGTATCCAAGTACAGGTGCTTTCGTTAGGACCCTCGAGTATGGCACCTGCTAACACACCGGTGCTGTAACACCCGCGAGGTTTTGCTCTGCCGTGAGGTCCCCATTTGCTCTGCCCAGCAGATTCGTGCTGGAAGGGGGGGTTCAGGAAGGTGGGCGCACCTGTGAAAAGGTGTCCGCTTACAGGGGGAGGGGTTGAGGCTGCCGAGGCCCTAGCTGAGGGCTACGTGCGAAGTGCTTCCTTTGAAATCATCACAGTCCCCTAGGGTACTGGATGAGGAAGCGCCGGGGGCGCCAATATTCATTCAGCAAACCGAGAGCGGGATTCAGACTTCAGACTTCGGGCTTGTTGGCTACACAGCTGTGGCAGCTGCCAGGAATGGGGTTGATGGAGAGGTGGTGCTTGGGAGTTTCAGGGGGACCGGTCCGGCCCCCTCTGTCTGTGCCTTGGAAGGGATGCCCGGATGATCCTGCCCAGATCAGTTGGGGAGTCAGCCGGTTGAGGTCGCACAGGGTGGGGGTGGAAGCCTTGAACCTCCATCTCTCTCCCTAAGCTGGGGCAGCGCCAGTCAGGCGAGGTAGCAGAGTACCTGTTGATAAAACGAGGGTACTTCGGAGAGTTCATTGGCAGTGGCATTACAAGAAGTTTGGGGCGGGCATTTAGCCCTGCAGCTGAGAAGCGCGCATCACGGATCTAGACGATGTGGGTTTGGCTCCGGCTCCCGCCTCCCGCCTCCCGCCTCCCGCCTCCCGCCTCCCGCCTCCCGCCTCCCGCCTCCCGCCTCCCGGGAATGCATCCCCAGGGGGCAGCAGTGACGCCCCAAGTAATGGAGCTCCTGCCACCCAGGAGGGAGTCTTGCATTGAGTTCCTGGTTTCCATCTTTGGCCCCAGGCAGCCTGGACCATTGTGGGCATTTGGGGAGTGAACCAGTGGATGGGAGCTTTTTTCTCTCTGTCTCTTTCGAGAACCTAAAAAAGAAAAAAAAAATTTTTTTAAAAGAGGTGAGTTTATTTTGACACAAGAAAAAGCTTTGAAATCCATGCAGTTTTTTTTGTACTATATATTTTTACTGAACTTTTTGTTGCATGGGTTTCAATTTTTTTTTTATCAAAATAAGCTTCCCTTTTTATTCTGTTTTCCACAAACTTTTTGAAGTCCCCTCATACTTACCATTTATTGGGCCATTTGTCTTTTTAAAGTGTGTGTGTGTTTATTTATTTATTTATTTGAAAGAGTTACAGAGAAAGAGAGGTTTTCCGTCTGCTGGTTTACTCCTCCAGTGGCGGCAGTGGTCTGCCAGGGCTGGGCCAGACTGGAGCCAGGAGCCAGGAGCTTCTCCTGGGTCTCCCACGTGGGTGCAGGGGCCCAAGGGCTTGGACCATCCTCTGCTTTCCCAGCACATTAGCACGGAGCTGGATCAGAAGTGGAACAGCCAGGACTCGAGCTTGGTGTCCATATGGGATGCTGATGTCTCAGCCAGCAACCTTACCCACTATGCCAAAACCCAGCCCCAAGAGAGAGAAGTCTTCCATGTGCTGGTTCACTCCCCGTTTGTCCACAATGGCCGGAGCTGTGCCTATCCAAACTCAGGAGCCAGGAGCTTCTTCCAAGTCTCCCACACAGGTGCAGGGGCCCAAGGACTTTAGCAGGGAGCCGAATTGGAAGTGGAGCAGCTGGGTCTTGGGATGCCAGCACTGCAGGCAGCGGCTTTACCTGCTAAGCCCCAGCCCCAGCCCCAAGAATGGGGCCTTCTTAACCGCCAGGCTCAGTGTCTGACTTGAGCCCTTTCTTTTGGACTGGATATTATTAGAGATCTCTTTTCATTGAATCTTCCTAGGAACTGATGATAATCTCGTTTTTACCATAGTTGACTCAGGTGATTTCAGAGTCAGTGACAGCTCAGATCCCACCCAAGTCTCTGCTTCCATAGCCTGAACTTAACCTGCCGATCAAATGTGCTGTTTTCTTTAAAGACAAGAAAGCAATCAGCTGTTTTAAATGTCTGTCCACGGTGTCTTGAAGTGCTGTGTTCTGTCTCTGTCTCTCCTTTTTTTTTTTTTTTAAGATTTTATTTATTTGAGAGGCAGAGTTGCAGACAGAGAGAGAGGTCTTCCTTCTGCTGGCTCACTTCCCAGATGGCCACGAAGGCTGCAGCTGTGGCAATCAAAGCCAGGAGCCAGGAGTTTCTTCCGGGTCTCCCACGTGGGTGCAGGGGCCAAGCACTTGGACCATCTTCTACAGCTTCAGCAGGGACCTGGACCGGAAGTGGAGCAGCTGGGACTTCAACCAGAGCCCATATAGGATGCTGGCACCCTCCGGTGGAGGCCTAACCTACTACGCCACAGCGCTGGCCCTAGGCTGTGTTCTCTTATCTGTAAAGTACTTGTGGTGTGCAGACAATATAAATGAAACTCTGTGGTCTGTGGTCTCCGGATTACCCAGGTACTTGGCGGCTGCTCTGTGCCATCAGCACACTCTGCCTTCATGGCAGACATTTCAAAACTTAGGCTTGTTTTTGGATCTCTGATCCTGCCACACCCATCTTGCTGCCAGCCAGTGACTTGGCAGTGACATCACAGGGACATGACTGGGGAATGTTCATCCCCTCCAAGGCTTCAAACTTACAGACATCTCTTCCTGCCTTCCCGTCCCTCAGAAGTGGTGTCCTTAACCCTCATCTGTGTTCTGGATGCTGCGCTTTCTCTCCTCCAGGAAGGGCCTTGCTCAGGACCATCTTCTCTTTCCCTTGTTGTTTTTTTGTTTGTTTTTGCCAGGCAGAGTTAGACAGTGAGAGAGAGAGAGAGAGAGAGAGCTGTAGACAGAGAGAGCAGAGAGAAAGGTCTTTCTTCTGTTGGTTCACCCCCCTAATGGCCACTATGGCCGACGCTGCACTGATCTGAAGCCAGGAGCCAGGTGCTTCCTCCTGGTCTCCCATGCTGGTGCAGGGACCCAAGCACTTGGGCCATCTTCTACTGCTTTCCCAGGCCACAGCAGAGAGCTGGATGGGAAGAGGAGCGGCCAGGACTCAACCCAGTGACCATATGGGATGCTGGCACCACAGATGGAGGCTTTACCCACTGTGCCACAACGCCAGCCCTGAACACACTTCTTTCTGTCCCTTCGTCCTCCCCTCGAATCTCTTCCCTCAGAGACAGAGTGAAGGAATTGCCTTCTCTATCCAGCCACTCCTTGCTGTTTCTCAATAGCCTGCTGCCTGGTTTTGGCCTGACTCACTGTTCTTGCCAGGGTCACAGGGTCACAGGTCATCTATAAGGGCCAGATGGCTTGTATGTTAGGGTTGGAGGCCATATCCTGTCTCTGCTGAGGCTCCTTTTCTCCCTTTTATTTACCTTGTAAGCACTTCCCCGGCCGCCTTCATGGTGCTGCAGTTTGCTGGGGTTTCTCTTACCTTTTTACACACCGTTTCCATGGTGGGCTCCTCGTGCACACGAGCTTGGGCTCTGCCTGGAGTCCCTTTGCCTTCTCATTCAGTGTGCTCTTCCGGGTGATTTTTAGGGATTCCAGTATGCTCAGTGTTCCCAGTGTTTTTGCTGAGCTGTGCACATGAGAAGCAAGAGCAGGCCCTGGTAACAGCTGAGATGAGGTCAGACTGAGCCATGAGATCTCGTCTCAGTACTCACTGGCTGTGGGAATTTGGGCAACATTTCTAACATTTTTTAAAAAATATTTATTTATTCATTTGAAAGGCAGAGTTACAGGGCCGGCGCCGCGGCTCAATAGGCTAATCTTCCGCCTGCGGTGCCAGCACCCTGGAACCCTGGGTTCTAGTCCTGGTCATTGCACCGGATTCTGTCCCAGTTGCTCCTCTTGCAGTCCAGCTCTTTGCTGTGGCCCGGGAGCGCAGTGGAGGATGGCCCAAGTGCTTGGGCCCTGCACCCGCATGGGAGACCAGGAGAAAGCACCTGGCTCCTGGCTTCGGATCAGAGCAGCACGCCGGCCACAACGTGCCAGCTGTAGCGGCCACTTGGGGGGTGAACCAACGGAAGAAAGAAGACCTTTTCTCTCTCTCTCTCACTGTCTAACTCTGCGTGTCAAAAAAAAAAAAAGAAAAAAAAAAGAAAGAAAAAAGGCAGAGGCAGAGAGAGAAAGTGAGAGAGCTTCCATCTACTAGTTCACTCCCCAAATGACCACAATGGCCAGAGCTGGGCAGATCAGGAGCCAGGAGCTTCTTCCCGCTCTCCTGTGTGGGTGCAGGGGCCCCAGGACTTGGGCCATCTTCTACTGCTTTCCTAGGTGCGTTAGCAGAGAGCTGGATTGAAAGTGGAGCAGCTAGGACTCAAACTGGCACCCATATGGGATGCTGTTGCTGCAGGCAGAGGCTTAACCT